TTAAAATTATTATATACTATAAAATAAAAGAAAAAAATATTAGTATTCAAAACTATTTTTATGCTATTCAATATTCTTTCATTGTTTCAATACATACAATTTATAATTATTAATGCGTGCATCACACGGGCTACATACTAGTTTTTATTACCAGAGTTATTTGGAGGAAACAAAAAGCAATCCATTTAACACTGGTAAGTGTATTTTCATGAGAATTGTTGATTAGTTAAATTACATTTGTTCATTTTATTATTCTGTAAAAACACAAAATTTGCAAATGAAATGACCCTAGGCCCCTGACATTTTATTTTCCAACATTAGCTTGAAACCAGAGATACTGGCTGACGACTTCCACATCAATAACCTTTCGATATCAAAAGGTTTTCTTCATGATTACAGGTGAGAAGGAAAAAAATTTGGATTGATTTTTTTTTTTCCTTCTTGGTATGCATGAGATATTTGTAGTGCCCTGTTCGAATAATAAGAATCTACTTATTTTAGTTTTTGTGACGTATGGCTTTGTGCATTTTTTATTTTAGTCGTTCGACTAAATTATTCTAGTACGCTTATAAATTAATCGAGATGTACTCGTCTTATTAGTTTATTAAGCTAAATTAGTTTTAGTTGATGCCCAAGTTTACTGAAATTTATTCCGAGACACTTGGTTTTTCGCCATATCGAAATTCATTTGATTTTCAAATTCCAAGTGCGATCTTTGTGAATCGTCGATTTATCGAAATTTTGTTCAATGTCCTGTTCACAAGCCCCTAGCAAATAACTGTTTGTAACTGTCATTATCCTTAGCTTGTGATATCACAATATTTCGGCCATGTCATCTATAATAATTGAAAGAGGAAGGTAAAAAATCCATTTGAGGAAAGTTTTAAAAAATTGGTCAGAAAATCTTTGACTTCCCATTTGGGGAAAGTCTTTTAAAATCTAAAAATCTAAATATATGTTTTGAATTTTACACGTTTACAATATATGTTTTGAAGTCATTTAGTTTGGTAGAGATTCCAATATTCAAGGCATTTAGTTTGGTAAAGGTTCCAATTTTCACGGCATTTAAATTCGGCTAAATTAAACTTTTAAAAATCTAAAAATATTAAACTTTATCTTCACCTTCTTTTTGTTTCAATTCAATTTTAAGTTACAGATTATATTTTCATGTTTGAAGGGCTGGATTTTTCTGTTTACCTATTTTAAGGGCCCAAGTTTTTTTTAATGAAGCTAAAATTTTAAAATTAATTCTCATGTAAACGGGTTGGTAATGGACTCTATTGATACTTAATTGTAACAAATTAATTCCATATTTTACGGGCATGGAAATGATTTAAAAAGTTGAAATGTAAATGATTTTTGGACTATTTAGAAAAAATGGGACTGGAGATGATATGTACTTGAATTTCAACTTCATTAATCAAACTAAATAGTCCAAAAATCATTTACATTTCAACGTTTTTAAAATCATTTGAACTTAGTCCCATTTTCATTTCCGATCGAATCTCTAATTTACGTACTTAGTTAGAAACGATTTTTTTTCCATTTAAAGATGATTATTTTGAATTATTTAATAATTGAATATCATAAAATGTATACATCGGATTTTATGTCGATTTTGGCTCGAAAAAATAAAGCTAAATATTTTGAATAACTTTTTTAGTAGTTTGAATAACACGTAATTCTATAAAATATATTTTTCATAAATTAATTTATTCCCGAAAATTGCCTATATAAATGGTCGTTAACCCTTTGATTTAAAAATGTACTCAAATTTACACCACTTACGATATTATTTTATTTCTTATATTTTAAATGTGTCTCGAACCAATAAGTCATATTTGAAGTTAAGGGTTGTGCGTGTTTTTTAGAAGAAATTTGATGCAAAGTTCAAGAATTTGTTGGAAATCATCTTTCACAATGAAGAGGTAAATTATTTTACAACGAATTCAAACATATTTTGGATAATCCCATTTATACATGTATTGATTAAAGTTTATATTTACGTATGTTGTAGGGTGCTCGCATAACTGCGATAATTCAGTCGGTGAATATTCCAAAGTTTAAAGATTTTCTCAAATAAGGCCAAGTATATGCTATTCGAAATTATCAAGTCGATATTAATATAGGATTATACAAATATTTTATTCACAAGTATAAGCTTGTGATCCATGGAATGACGAAACTATTGAAGTTCGAAAGAGAGTTTCCAGAATGGCGTTTTGATTTTAGGAATTTCATCACCCTCCGTGACCCTAAGAACATAGATGAATCCATCATCTTTGGTATGTTCGATATTATGTTTTTTTTTTTTAAATGCAAGCACTATAATTTTTTAATTTGTGATCATAATTCAATTGTTTAATTATTTTATTAGGTGTGATTGGCTTTGTCGTTGAAATTGGCTTCGTTGCCATCAAGATCATCAAATGAGTGCCAACAAAAATGATTGTTTTCCAATCTACAAGACTTGGAGTAAATGGATATTACGCTTATTTTTTTACTTTTTTTTTTCAGTTGGTTTTCTATATATTAGTGTACTTATTTCAATATATTTAAAAGTTTAGGGAGAACAAAATTAGTTGCACGCTATAGAGCGATTATGTTGACAAGTTTC